AAATATATTCTCAGAGTTCGGCTCGTAGCAGGATCAAGTAAGCGAATCCCATCGAGACCAATCTGAATTCGAATTTCAATACAAAACTTCAGAATTTATAATTGGTTAACAGGTAGTAAATAAATAAGTAGTGGTATGCAGACCAAAGCATAGGCACGATAGTCAACATAAAAGTAGATGCAGAGGATTCATATAGACGACTTAAAATAGTTAGTAATTGTGGTTTAGTTTATTGATTGAAGCAGGCCAATTATAACTTCATTATTTGTGCAAACACCAAAAATGGTACTTCCTAACCTGACAAAGCACATCCATGTCACTCTGACCAATCCCTTCAGATAAAAGTTTGACGCGGAACTTCAACACACCAGCTGTAACATCCTGTTGTTCCTCCATCTTCGGGGTTGCTTTCACAATTTTACGACTACTCTCATATCCCTGCTTCTCCCTCTGATTTTGAACATTAATAGGCCTCCCATAATCATCAAACATCACCCCAACATTCGACTCAGATCGACTCTCTTTATACAACTCATCTTTCCTACCATTATATTTGTAAATACCGGAATCACCATACGATCCATAATCCTCAATTGCATGATGAGGAGAGGAACCATAATTTTGTGTGGTATAATCGTAACTCATAGGGGTTTGATTTTGATCATACGGAGGATAATAATAATTCGGTTGATGAGCATCAAGGTGAGGGAAAGTGTAAGGTTGTTGTTGATGAGAATAAGGTGGGAAGGTGGTGGAGTAGTCGGAGGCAGAGTAAGTGGAAGAAGGTTCAGGAGGAGCGGAGGCGTAGGGATGATCAGGGGGAGTAGAGCTAGGGTTTGGGTTGTGTAAGTAAGGTTGGTGGTAGTAGGAAGAGCCAACATCGCCGTTATGCATGACTGGAGAATTTACAGATCGGAGAAGAAGATGGAGATTAATCGGTTGAAGAAACGATGAAAAAAGAGGAAGAAATGGTGGATTGAAAGGGAAGTTAAGTTTGTTGAGATGGCGACACAGAAAGGAATAGCGTGTAAGCGTCACCTGATGGAATTTGGACTGGACCGGCCGACCGGGTTACCGATATGAGGAACTTTCGCGAAATAGCATCACTTGTCTTAATAATTACATTTATTTTGTCTAACTTTTTTCAATGACAACTTTCACATATATCAAACATAAAATTCATATTTGCATGTTATAGCAAAATTTGATAATTGTACTACATAGTAAACATATAAATGTATAATTTACTATATATACAATTGAAGTGAATTATATAAAATAAAGTGTATAAAATGAGAAATAAAAAGAATTGTATAATTATAAGTGTATCAAACGATTATATATAATTTGAATTTGTATAAAATGAGAAAGAGAGAAAGACAAAACAGACTTGAGCAGGGAATAAACAACTGAATCGAATTAAAAAAAAAAAAGAAATTATATACAATTTGAATTTGTATAAAACGAGAAAGAGAAAAAGACAAAAGAAGCTGGGCAGGGGAGTATTTTTATTGTATAATTATAAGTGCATAGGACGAAAATATATGTATTTACATGTGTTTATACAATTTTCTCTTGTTTTATACAAACAGAAACACAATTTATACATTTTATTTCTGTTTGTATAAGCGAGAGAGGCGAGGGTGGCGAGCGAGATCAGGGAGAGTAGCGAGCGAGATCTGGGAGAGGGGAGAGAGGGGAACAATAATATATGTATTTATACAATTCCTCTCGCTTTATACCAATAGAAATAGATTTTATACACTTGTGTTTGCATAAAAGTGACAGAAAGCGAGCGAGAGTTTGAGGGAGAAAGGTGACTGGCAAATAGTTTGCTAAAGGACACAATTAAATCAAAGGGTGGTTATAGCAATTATTTTGATTTATTAGTTTGCCATTATATACAATTTTCTCTTTTTTTAATACTTATCTAAATTATCATTATTCCTCTGTCCACTTCTAATGATCACAATTTCTTTTACAAAAAATGACAAGTAAGCCACTTTTAAGTTCTCTAAGTATGATTATCCCCTATTAATTTCACAAATCTTCAAAGTTTCTTTTTTTTGCACATCAAATTAATGTATCAGCACATTAGATTAATGTATATTATGCATCAGATTTATGTATTTCGCGCATCAGATTAATGTATCTCGCGCATTAAATTAGTGTATCATGTATAAAATATAATGTATCTTACTTAACGATTAATGTATCTCACGTATCAGATTAGTGTATCATGTATAAAGTATAATGTATCTTACTTAACAATTTATGTATCTCGTTAATCAGATTAGTGTATCAACGCTTATATTATTGTATCAGTTTGAGGGATTTTTATAATTATAGACTTATAAGGGACAAATGGTAATTTTTCCTTAAAAGTATGTGAGTTTGTCCTTTGCCCTTTTTTTTAGGTGTCAAAAGATAAGAAATTTAACTAACATTTCAAATTGCAATTTATACTATTTTTTGTCTTAATATTTTGTTTAAAATATTAAATTAATGCAATCTAATAACTTTAAAAATTAATCAAATTGACTTTTAAGATGCTCAATATAGCAATTAAAAGTGATCGGAAAAAATATTTTATATCTTCTTTTCTAATAAAAACTAGATGGGCATGGCACGGGCCCAACGTTAAAGGCTTATGATATTGAAAAATAAGTTTGTATTGAAGTTGAACAATAAAATGCTTTCTTTTCCCATATGCGAGAAACCAAAAGCGTAGATATTTTGATAGAACACGCTTAAAGTGCCAAATTATAAGTTTACAAATAGGATGATTACTATATTTTTACATCTTAAAAAAATAATTTTTCAAAAGTCGTTGGATAGATAAAGCTCCAAGAAAGCAATTGACCACACGAATGGAGGATATAAATCATACAATCTCTTTTTATTTAGAAATTCCACTTTTAAACAATGACCATATGCAAAATTATAAAATAGATCAAGCGAGATGCAAAAGGAAGTGTAATATATAGCATGTGTGGACACCCAATTTTGATCCTCCTTCGTATAAATTAATTGACGAGCTTCTTAATTCTAAGACGGTTTAAAATGATTAGTATTTATAAAGTTCAAAATATCTTTTTGCAAATTATTTTAAAACAATTTTTACTATTTTAAATTGTTTAATATATACATATATATGTGTATATGTATGTATACTATTTTATTCAAAATCTTTCTGAAAAAAAAGATTTTATTTTTATTTCTTAAAAATATTTTACATATATATTAGTCATATAGTAGTTCACCATTTCGGGTTAGTCTTTTTTATAATTACGTTGATTATTTTATTTCGTTAAGATCAAGAAGCTTACCTAATTAATCTATATTGATTCATTCATCTAATTATCATCTATTAAACCCATTAGAAGACCATTTTGGACCCTTTTTTTTTTGGAAAATTTTT